GGGGGGGGGGGGGAGCAGCAGCCATACCTCACATTAGCCAGGAGGGGGGATATTTGTTCATTTCTGAGACTTGGACAACATTCATGTTCTGTCTGTGTTCATACAAGATAAAGCAGTGGTCTTGTTTTTGTCTCACTTTGTCACTATCACGGAGGAGCCCTGTTGGATGTTGTGTTCTGTGGATTTGTGTATGACTGCAGGAAGAACTAGGACTAGCTGTGAGGGCCAGGCCCGGTCCCTTGTCAGGGGCTGTTTTCCTCTTTTTCACCAGTAATAGTGGTCTGTGAGAGGGCAGTTTGGTGATGCTGTTTAAATGTCTTACATATATTGTAAGTCTAAGCTGTCACGCTTTACAAGGAGCCCCTTCCATGGAATCTAACGAGTGTAGCACAGTTTCGAAATAGGATTTTGAAACCAGAGAGCAAGTATAGATCAAATCTGGACTTCAAGAAGATGCCTGCAGGATTTAAAAAAATCTACCTGGACCCTTTATCACCAGTTAACTCGAAAGAAACCCATCACCAGCTAAAGCATCACTTCACATTAGGGGTTTTACTGACTGTCCCCCACCCTGGCCAACCAAACACATTCTGTTTACCAGTGTTCCATGTCCCCTTTCTGACTGTGCCCCGGCCTGGTACAAACTTCCATTATCACGCATCATTTTATGATTAAGTGTTTGTGTCCCAGATGCATATCCTCAGAGCTCAAGGAAAAGGATGTGTCCTTCATCTTTTCGGGCCTCGACAGAAGCCTGGGACAAAGCAGGTACTCGATGTGGGTTCATTGGTTCCTTAGTTACTCATGAAAACCACTTTAACAAAAGACAGCCCAAAATGTAAGGTGGAAACTCTCCATCCACAGGAAGTATGTTGGATAAACAGCGACAAAAGAGGAAGATTCAAGTCCTAAGTTCTTCACCGAGGGACATTTCACAAAGTGAACAAAATCTGATACATTCTTCATCATGAGTCACTGCAAGTCCCTATACCTGGTGTTTAATGGTTTTATATAAAAATGTCTCACAAATACTATTTGTTTCCCAGTAAGTGGTTGTCATCTCCCTTTTGTTGGTCCTTTAAGTGTACCTTCCCATGCAGTGTTCCAAGGAAGGTGTATGTACAGGTATGTAAAGGATAGAGGCCCACTTTCCATTAAATACACAATTATTATTTTTGTCTTTTTTTAAAAAAAATATTTTACTGTGGTAAGCACATTTAACATGTGATCTAACCTCTTAACAAAATTTTAGATTTGAAGGGAAGAAAAAAACTTTTCTTATTTACAGATGACCTGACTATAGATAATCCCAAAGAATTTACCAAAAAACCCTCCAAATAAAATGA